GCTGAGTTTCTCGCTTTGAACCAAAAACAAAAATTATCACTCTTCTCTCAATTGTTTATCTAACTGGATGAATGATCATTTAAATTTTGGATTTAAGAGCTTAAATTCAGTGACGAGTTTGGGAAAGAGTATGAGAAGATGGAGGAAGCTTAATTGAGGAGAGAAGTATAAATATACAATTTTGTCCACGTTAGAATTATTAACAAAGGACCATTCGTGGAAATGAATATAATAATTGGGGACTAAATTAGTAATATTTGATATGTAGGGACTAAATATGTAAAACGACCTATAATTGGGGACGTTTTATGGAATTTACTCTTTATTGAATTAAATATTCAATTAAACAAAATTTGTTTTGATTAAAATAAATTATTGTTGGGCTTTGGGCCGAAATAAAATATACATTGATGTCCAATAAACATAATTGGGTTAAATCTCATAGAGATAAATCCAACCTGTTAACTTATTGTGTGATCTTGATTGGGAACCTGAGTACAGACCCAAATTAAGAATAAATGAAGAAATTGTTTGTAATGTGAACTTTGAAATGATTTATTGAAACAAATCATGGAAATAAATAATATGAATTAAATGTGAGAACCTTTTTGAATAAAGGTCAATTAGACCAATTTTGACTCTGTCAAAGTCAAACATCCAAAAATATGATGTCAGAAAAAGTAAAACGAATAAATATAAAAATTATATCGTTGGATAGAGTTTAATTGTCTGATCACAACGGTGCAAACGGAATTGAATTCAAAGAAAGTTGGACCAAAAAGTGTACCTCGACTGGGACCGAAATTAGTCCCAATTAGTGAACGGCGTGTGAAATCCTACAAATCCGCCGTCTTGCGCACTAAATCGATCATCAACGAAGAAATGGAATCCTGAGTCACACCCATGTCTTCTTCTTCACTTCTTCTCCTATAAAAGGAACCCAATCTCATCCATTTCTTCATCAAATTCCTTCAAATAAACTCTGAGATGAAGCTGTGAGTGTAGAGAACAAAGTGGTGCTGTCAATTTGGGGTGAAGTCGCCGGAGCTAGCCACAAACCTCGCCGGAAGTCTCGCCGGAAAATTCTCAAAACCTTCGATAAGCTTCGAGGTAAGCCCGTTGATATATCTAATGACTAGAATGTTCGTATAGATCGTTTCTACGTTCATAAACGGTCGTTTGGTTGAGTTTTGTGTTTGACATGCTTGAACAACCAAGAATCATAAACCATGAAATTGATGTTAAAACTATGAATTAATGATGCCAAAATGATCTATGAACCTTAGATAACATCTCTATATAGTTTCGTTGAAGTTCGATGACTAAAAATGGGATTTCCGAAAAATGGGCCGAAGGTTGAAGAAGATGAACAGTAAGCTGAAACTAGAGCTGGCAAAACAGAACCGGAACCGATTACCCGAACCGAAATATCCGAAACCGAAACCGAAATGACCTGAAAAATGAAGATCCGATCTATAACCGAAAACCCGAAATGATCCGAATCGAACCGAAATCAAACTAAATAATTCATATCCGATTTAAATTCGAAACCGATTAGATCCGAAACCGATAATATCCGAACTGATTAAACCCGAAACCGATTAGATCCGAAACCGATAATACCCGAAACCGATTATATCCGAAACCGATTAGAACCTACATAGATAATTTTGGAAGTATGTTTTCCTTTCAATAAGCATATTATAATTTTAAAATTTTACTTTTATTTTACCATTTGAACTAATTATATTACTTGCTCATTCCCTCATAAAATGGATTACATGTTTTAGAAATATTACAAAAAATAGAGAAAATGAGCAATAAAATAGAGATGAGTAATAGTCTGGCTACAATAAGTTATCATATCCAAATTTCTGAAAAAAACTTATAATGCATGTAATTTTATAATTAAAAAATATATTATTTATGTTTATTTAAAATTAATAGTTTCTACCATTTTATTTTGTTTTTTCATTTTGAAAAGGAATTTTTGATTTTTATATAAAAGATAGTTTTAATATTTATATTAATCAGTTTATTTCACATCTTATTATTCTAAGTATCTTCTTTAATTATAATACATCATACCCTCGCATACCACGATATCTACAAAAAAATGAAATGTCTAACAAATTTATTTAAGAAGAGTTAGGCCCCGTTCCGTTCAACTTATTTTTTCTTATTTTTTCTTATTCTTATTAAAATCAGATCAGATCAGATCAGATCCGATCAGATTCAATCAGATCAGATCAGATCCAATCAGATCAGATCAGATCCAATCAGATCAGATCAGATTCAATCAGATCAGATCAGATCAGATCAGGACTTATTAAAATCAGATCTCATCAGGAATTATTATTATTATTATTATTATTATTATTATTATTATTACTACTACTATTATTATTATTATTATTATTATTATTATTATGATCATCATCATCATCATCATCATCATCATCATTATTATTATTGTTCTTAAAAATGAAAAAGAATAAACTTTAGAAATATGTTAAATAGAAAACTGAGAAAGTAATCCTTAATTATTAGATGTCGGAAAAATTAGTTTTAAAATACATTGACAATGTCAATCTAATATACTTTTAAAATATATTTTTATTGCTACTTGTAATTTGAGTTTCTAAACTTTTGATCTTTTATAAGGATGAGATATTTTAATAAAAATACTATCTCTTCTATATATTGATTATCTAAATTTAATTACTTTTTAATGTATATCTAAATTAAATATTTATTATAATGT